CCCCCCCCCAGCACTGGTGTTTGAAAACATTATTTTCATTAAAACAAATTTAAAAAATGCCAAGAAGGGCAAGCCTCACATATTTACAGGAAGGAAGAGAAACGCTAATGTTGTTTTAAAGGGTCTTTTTTTGGATGCACAAAATGAAATAGATCCATTATGTGAAACAAGCTATGACAAAAAAAAGATTAACGAAAATTGCTTAAGAAACCTTATTCTTTGGTTTCCCAGATTCACAGTTCCTGTGTTTCACAGCGTTCTGTGAAAATATGTTTCCTATGCCCTAACCAGACACATCACATGGATCACTGGACTGATCGACTTTGTTCCTGTGGCCATCATTTATCTAACTATTTATTATGATTTTTTCAGACGTTTTGACAGCACCCGATGCATGCATCAAAAACATTCAGCTGGACACTTCCACCTCTAAACAAGGATTACACAGATCCCTCACAATCTTTACTGGGATCAGTCTGTTCTGTTCCCAAAAGGTGACAAAACCTGTTTTTTTGTTTTGCCCTCAACCTCTATTCACAAATCAGCCTTTTGTCTCTTTCAGTAATTGCTACACATTTATTTTTAAGCAATTTCTCAGTAATTCAAATTCCCACTAAGAGCTCTCTGCATTATTTCTCAGTCACAGCCCTAATCGCAGCTACGCTTTTTGTCCGCTCCACCGCAGTTTATTTAAGGTGGCCCCGGGCTCGGAGCCGGGGGCTTCCCCATGCCTGGGTGAGCCCCACGCTCCTGCCCCACCATGAAGCCCACATGGAGGGGGGGGTCCCAGAGAGGCAGGAGTCAACCCATCCCTGCCCTCTCCCGTGAAAAACAACAACAAAAGGCTACGAAAACCATTTGGGCTTTGTTTTTATTGCTAGAGCCTAAAGTTGGTAAAAAAAACCCCAAATCCCTGTGGGCAGTTCTACCAAATTTTCCTATTTTGATGTCCTGCAGGAAAGGGGAGAGACACGGCAAATGGCCGCTCAGAGCTCCCATTTACAGGGTGTTTGTTGCGATTTTGGCTGTTAAATGGGCTAGCCCCTGCAGGGGATGCCCAGTCCCCCGTCCCC